CTGGGGCCACGAAACGCGGTACTGGCTGGGAGAGACGCATGCGAACTGCGGAGGAGAGAGGAGGGGGAAGAGGGTGGGGGAGGAGGAGGAGGGAGGAGGAACGCGGGGGACTCTCTTCAAAACGAGGACCCAGCACCACAGGATGGTTGGGAAAAACTGGAGCGCCAGTGGTGTGTCATTAAGGGGCATACATCTTTGCTTGGGAAAACGAGGGAAACACCCATCCGCAGCAATGATATTCAGAACGGGCGACTCCGATGTGAATCGTATGCTCATTGATCTGAATAAACGATGTGAGTCGTGTGCAAATCCTATGTGAAACATATACGAGTCCTTTGGGTGTCACATGGGCTTCCAATGTGAATCATTTACGACTCCTGTGAATGGTATACGATTCCCACGTGACTCGTACAGTGATTCGATGTGCAGAGCATACGAACCCGAAATGAATCGTATACGGTTCAAATGTGCATCGTCGACGGCTCCTATTTGAGACGTGCAAGCATGCTGGGTGAAAAATGGACGAATATTGCATGAACCGCATGCGGTTCAAATGTGAATCGTATACGGTTCCTGTGTGGATCGCGTACGATCCCTTTATACATCGCATACGATGCCGATGTGAAGCGTATACGATTCCGCTGTGGGCCGTATACGACTCCTATGTGCATCCCAAACGACTCCTATGTGGATCGTATACAACTCCTACCTGAATCGTACACGAAACCTATGTGAATTGTACGCGGTCCCTCCGTGAACCGTAGACGCCGATGTGACTCGTCTGCGACTCCTACGTGAATCGCATGCGGCTCCTGTGCAGATCGTATACGGCTCATATGTGGGTCGTATACGATTCCGGTGGCAATCGTATACGATTTCTATGTGAATCATATACGAAAACGTGTCAATCGAATACGGTTGCACTGTGAATCGGAGACGACTCCTACGCACAAATCTTCTACTTGAATCGTATGAACCGTATACGATGCGTATGGAAATCGTATACATGTCCTACGTGTATCGTGTACGCTTCCGAATCGCATACGGTTCTCATGCACATCGTATACGAACCGTGTGTGAGTCGAATCGAAAGTGATTCCTATGTGGGCTGTTTACGATTCCTATGTGAATCGTATGCGAGTCCTACGCGAATCGTAGACGCATCCTGTGTGAATCGTACGCGGTTCCTATTCGAATCGTTTACGATTCGTTTGTGAACCGTATACGGTTCCCATGTGGCTCATCCACGATTCTTAGGTGAAAAGCATGCGATTCCTGTGCGCATCGCATACGTTTTCTATGGAGGGGCCGTGAAGAATCCTAAACTAATCAGAAGAAATCCAACAAATCCCAAGGCCCTAAAGAACCCGCAGGCTTCCTACGGAACCCCTAAGGACATCCTAAGGATACGCCAAACTGGAATCCTTAGGGGGTCTTCGGGAATCCTGTGGAATCCTGAAAAGAATACAAAAAGGAACCCTGAAGGAATCCTAAAGAATCCCACGGCACCCAAATAAAACCTGAGGCACCCCACCCTTAGGAGCTCTAACAAAAATCCGTTGGTCTGCTGAAAAACCCGCAGCCCGAAAGCGGCGAAAAACCTCCAGGACCCACTTCCCTCAGGACCGTTTCCTTCACGAGCCATAGGAGGCGGGCATATAGAGCGAAGAGGTGTTGACGGTCACGGCGAACTTCGGCCACAACTGGGCCTCCAGACTCTGACACAAGGAACGGCTCGGGAGTCGCAGCCATTCCCGAACCAAAAGTGTTTCTCCGCCTCTTCCTCCGCGCCCTCTTCCTCCTCCCCCTCCTCCTCCTCCCCCTCCTCCTTCCTCCTTCCTCCTTCCTCCTCCTCCTCTACCTCCTCCTCCTCCTTCTCCTCCTACTCCTCCCCCCGCCTTCTCCCCCCCGGCACGCCGTCCTGCCTACGGGCAGTCGGTGAGTCCCGCGACGACGAGGACGAGGAGGGGGGATACCGACGAGGAATGAGGGAGGCGGAAAGAGGAATACGACGAGGGTTTGGTGTTTGGGGGCTGGGGGTTGGTGCTGCGTGCTTGGTGCTTGGGGTTTGGGGTTTGGCGTTTCCAGTGTGGTGTTTGGGGTTTGGGGTTTGGTAGTTGGTGGTTTGGGTTTGGTGTTTGGGGTTTGGTGTTTGGGGTTTGGAATTCGTTGTTTGGTGATTGGGGTTCGCGTTTGTTGCTTAGGGTCTGGTGTTTGAGGTTTCGGGATTGGCTTTTCGGGTTTGGTGTTTGAAACGTGTGGTGTTTTGTGTGCGTGGTGTCTTGGGGGGATTTTAAGGGCTCCGACCAAGGTTATAGCCCTACTCTGCCGGGGCATACCCCGTCCAACTGGGGTATAGCCCGTCCAAGAGGGGAGCAAATTCGCCGCCCCCACCCCCGTGGGGAGGCGGACGCATGCCCGCCCCAAGGGAGAGCGGAGAGCGGAGACCGTCGTCGTCGTCGTCGTCGTCGTCGTCGTCGTCGTCGTCGTCGTCGAGTCGTCGTCGTCGAGTCGTCGTCGTCGTCGTCGTCGTCGTCGTCGACGACGTCGTCGGGGGCGCGCCAAGCCGCGCCGCTTCAGCAGGGACGCGCTGAGGCCGCCCAAGACGAGGCTCGGCCTCGGGCCCGCCCCGCTCCGCTGTTCCTCCCCGGGGGCGCCCGTGCCCTCGGACCCTCCGCCCTCGGATCCGCCGTGCTCTTCGGCTGGCGGCGAGGGAAGATAGGGGGAAAACAAACCTACCTCGCGTTTGACCACCCTCGCTTCCAAGAGATACCAAGCGATGCCAAACTACGGCCTGCGCTGGTCAGGCTGCTTGACGAGGAGGCGCGTGGTATGACTTGGTTTTGCCTGGAAGCGAAAGCGGGGGAGGTAATTCACGCTCTGAGAAGAGGGGAAAGGAGAAGAAACAAACCTTTCGAGAAGGCTCGGGGGTCCCCGGGCCTTTTGAAACATGTCCGAGGTTTTCCCCGACGACACCAGAAAAAACATCGCCGACGGCGCGAGGACTTCTGAGAAGTCCCGCCGCCCTCTGAAAAGGGGCTTTTCCTTCTCACCCCCCCCCTCGCTCGCCGCCGGGAGGGGGATGAGGATGAGGATGAACAAAAAGGAGGAGAACGAGGAGAACGGGGAGGAGGAGGAGGACGCTTTCTGCGATGGGAAGATCGGGTTCCGCATCGACCCGCATCGCCGAAGCAGCGGCGATGCGGCGCGATCCTCCGCCCCCAGCAGTGCGGACCCCGAGTGAATGAAATGGACGTCCGTCTCCTGCACAGTTTCTGCCCCCCGCCCGCCGCGTTCGTCAGTTTCCCCCTCGTCCTCCTCCTGTTCCTCCTCCTCCTCCTCCTCCATTTCCTTCTCCTCCTCCTCCTCCTCCTCCCCCATTTCCTCATTTTCCCCCTCTTCCTCCTCCATTTCCTCCTCCTCCTCCTCCTCCTCCTCCTCCTCCTCCTCCTCCTCCTCCTCTTCCTCCTGCAACATCAGCAGAAGTCAAAACACCACGACACACACACACACACAGACACACACACACACGCTTTAAAGCCGGCTGCGCAGAGGAGCCTCAGGCGCGGTCGGCAGGTGGAGGTGCCAATGGCGAACGAACCTCATCGAACGCGCCATGGTGAAATCATCCGGCCACGGCCATGCAGAGCGGTGGTGGGAAAATGAAGCGCTGTAAAGCCAAGGCGATGCGGCCAACGACCCCGCGGAGCGGAAACCCGACGAAAGGAGTTGAAGCGCAAACAGCAGTCTGGTGCTAATTAGCCAGAAACGCAAACACACACTCTTACATACACACACACTAACACAACACCAACACACACACGCACACACACAGACACACACACACACACACACACACACACACACAAACACAACACACGCAAATACGAACACACACACACACACCACTGATCACGTCGAGCGGCGCGACGAACCTGTAGACTCCTCCTCCTCCTCCTCCTCCTCCTCCTCCTCCTCCTCCTCCTCCTCCTCCTCCTCCTCCTCCTCGTGGCGGCCCCAGACACGAGGAACCCCCTGAGCACCGCCGAGAGCGCGACGATGGCGGCGTGGTGCCCCGCCCCTTCTTCCTCCTCTTCTCGATTTGCGCGTGTCATCCTTGCGCAGAGGCCATGCTAATCTTCTCTGTATCGTTCCAACTTGAACGGATGATCCCCGAAGGGAATCCTCCCTTCTTCCTCCTCCTTCTCCTCCTCCTCTTCCTCCTCCTTTTCCTCCAAATCTCTTCCTTTCCTTCCCTTCCTCCTCCTCCTCCTCCGTTTCCTCCTCCTCCACCCCCTCCTCTTCCTCCTCCTCCTCCTCCTCCCCATGCCGATGGCTTTCCGCAGCCCCTGGGGTGGCTGTTGTGCAGGGCGCATGGGGCGCTGGTAAGGCTGCACGCATGGCGCGCGCCAGGAAAACACCTGCACAATCAGACCAAATGTTTAAGAAGCAGGGGCGGCACCGGCACTCGAGGTACAACCTCGAGGACAGCCCGCTGGCAAGACCGGATTTCCTGCGCACTTCGAGGTCCTCGCCTCGACGCATTCACCTCGAGTCCTCCACCCCCAGGTCGTCACCGAGAGGTCTTTGCGTCGTCGAAGGCCACCCCGAGGACATCACCTCGAAGGCTTTACCTCGAGGCCATCACCTCGACTTCTTCGCACCGAAATCTTTACCCCGAGGAGCTCGAGGTCTTCACCAGAAGTGTTCTGACATAGCCCTGGCTTACCCCCGTCGCGAGGCAGGTGCCTCAAGGACACACTCCAGCTGCAAGGCCAGCGGCCCTGCACACTCTCAGCCCGGCGCGAGGCAGTTGCCTCCAGGGCACAGTCTGGCAGCACAGCCGGCGGTCCTGCGCTTTCTCGCGCCTCTGCGCATACCCTACTTCGTCTCCTTTTGGAGGCCAGTTGACGGCTATGCCGACTTCCGTGCATCCATAAAGTCTGCACGCTTGCCCCCATCTCGAGGCAGTCGCCTCAAGGACACGGCCTGGCTGCGAGGCCGGCAGTCCTGCCTGCACTTTCTCACGGCTCTGCAGTCATCACGCTCCATACTCGTTTGTGCACTGGTTGGCGGCAGCGCTGACAGCTTGTGCACGCTTACCCCCGTAGACAGGCAAGAAAAGACAAAGCCCGGAGGCAAGGCCAAAGGTCCTGCAAACACCGTCTATCCGTGACCACGGTCCACCTCCTCTTCGAGGCTGACTGGCGGAAGAGCGGCTTTCGTGCATCCACGTGTCTCCTGCCCCTGTCGCGAGGCAATGGCCTCAAGCACAATGCCCCGCAGCAAGGTCGGCGGGCCTGCACGCTCTCACGTCTGACGACGTCTCTCCGGTTACCACGGCTCGTCTCCTCTGGGTTGCTGGCTGGCGGCATGCCGGCTGTCGTGCACCCGTAGACTCTGCACGCTTGCCCCCCGTCGCGAGGCGCAGTTGCCTCCAGGGCACAGCCCGGCAGCAGGGCCCGCGGTCCTGCACTCCTTCACGTCTCCCTGGTTGCCACGGCTCTCGTCTTTTCTGGGGCCGCCGACCGGTGGCCGCCCCCGGTCTTCGAGCACCCGCAGAAGCCTGCGCAGCTGCTCCCGTCGCGAGGCCATTGCCTTGAGGGCGCCGTCCGGCGACAGGCGACAGGGCCAGCGGGCATGCGCGCACTCGCTTCGCTCGCGTTGCAGTCGGCCCGCTGGCAGAGGAAACACTATGGCAGGAGCGAAGGGAGCGAAGCCCCTGATAGGCCCCAAAACCGCCTTCCTTCACGAGGATGCTGGAGGAACAGCCATGGAAGGACCTAAGGAACATCGAGCCCCTTCACTTGCCGTCGCTCGGACGTCCATTTTCCGTGCATTTGTCGGTTTCGTGCGTGCTTTTTTTGCTCGATGGTCCAGGACGGTCCTCGATGGTTCGCGCCGAGAAAAAATGCACACGTCCGAGCGATGCCAAGTTCAGAACCCAGATTGTTCCTTATTTCAGCGTCTTGACTGCACCACAGGTCGTCACTTTTCGGACGCCGCCCTGCAGGATTCTTCGGCCGTCGTGCACCCGCAGATTCTGCGCGCTTGTCCACGTCGCCGGGCAGCTGCCTGGCCATCGCTCGGACGTCCATTTCCTGTGTTTTTTTCGGTTTCGTGCGTGGTTGCTTCGCCAAATGATCGAAGATGCTCCCCGATGGTCCTCGCCGAAGGAGAAATGCACACGTCCGAGCGATGCCAAGTATTGCTTCGAGTGCACAGCCCCGCGGCCAGGCCAGCGGCCCCTGCATGCTCACGGCCCCGTCGCGGGCCCTCTGCCTCAGGGGCGCAGCCACGCGGCGAGGCAGGCGAGCCTGCTTGCCCCCCGAACCCCCTCCAGGCATGTTTTTTTGTCGTGACGCGCCCGGTCGTCAAGAAACTACGCATGACATGACTACAGTCGGACGTAATTGGACAGGACACGCGAGAGGACGAAAGACCCTTCCGAGGGCCACATCGCCATAGGAAGATAAGAAGGCAGGTGTCGCGAGGCACAGGACACAAGGGTACCCTTGAGCTGGCAGGGTCGACCTACTGGTCCAGGCCGACTGTACTCATGACATGGATACACACTTCTGATATAAAAAAGAGCCGACAGAGGTCTCCGATAACGCAGTCCTTCACGCCAGGCAGAGACCCATCTATGTGAAAACATATTTGGGAACACTAATCTTCTGAGGTGCCAATCGTGCACCAAGGTGCAGCTGCACCAATCGCACGTTACAAAGACCAGGGTGAACACACCCCCTGGATTGCGAGGCCCTGCGTACCCGGGAGTGGCCTTTTCCCAACGAGGAAAATCTATGCTGTAGTTTTGCCTTGTGGGACATCTTGTGACCGACTTGCAACCTCTTGGGACCCTCCGGAGGATTTGGTACTGATCTGGCAGGTTCGTTCCAACCTGAAGATCTACGCTGTTGATGTCACTTGTGAGCCATCCTGTGACTCCCCTGGGGGCCCGTTTGGGGCCCTCTTGCGGCCTTCCTGCGACTCTGGCAGGTTCCTTGCCTGGACCACACACCCAGGCCATTCGCATCAGCGGGCCAGCGTGCCCTTCAGGGTGCTGCCCTCCAGTTTCCACCAACGGGGTTAGGGCGCCCCGAAGCCATATGTCCTCAAATTCCTCCTCCTCCTCCTCCTCCTCCTCCTCCTCCTCCTCCTCCTCCGTCGTCGTCGCCGCTCCAGGCTCTTGGGCGCCTTCCGGCCCTTTCTGAACGCCCCGGCGGGGCGCCCTCGCGGCCACGCCTCGAGATCCCGGCCAGAGCGCAGCCCAGGAAATGTCAAGGAGGTCGTCGTCGCCGCCGCCGTTGCTGTCGTCGTCCGTCATCGTCGTCGTCATGAGTTGTCATCGTCGCCGTCGCCACCGCCGCCGCCGTCGTCGTCGTCGTCGTCGTGGAGCGTCCAATGCCCAGCACGCGCGAGAGCGAACGGCGAGGCTCATCCCTCGCGCACAGGCAGGGTGCACCATGTCCCACCCCTCCTCTCCTCCCCACCCTGTTTTCGTTTTCTTCTTAGTCCTGGCAGTAGTAGTAGTTGTAGTAGTAGTAGTAGTAGTAGTCGTAGTCGTAGTAGTAGTAGTAGTAGTAGTAGTAGTTGTTGCAGTAGTAGTAGTAG